TCGCTAATTTTTGCGAACGTGTATTTGATATAAAAAATTTTAAAAATCGAAATAACATTACATAATTAACGTATTACACATGGGGACATGTTACTGGGATATATCAAGAAGATCGACGTCGTTTTAGCGAAATTCCTATCGAAAACTAACACAACTAGGCACAGGTTGTACAACGAGAATCATCGCGGACGTTTTTGCGGACCTATTAGTTGACACCGCTAGCACGTTATTGGCTGAAAGTATCCAATCGCTTTCGAGTAGCGATGAATAGAGTTTGCGAGACTCTGTGCATTGAACTAACCGATACAGTTGACGCGGGGATTTCCCAGCATGTTTGGAATTATTCTATACCGATTTTGTTTTGCACAGCCTGCAATGTAGGCCTTGCCTTGGACCTAGGAATTATTCTACACGGGATTGTTTTTCACAGCTTGCGTTATAGGTTTTGGCCTAGGAATTATTCTATACAGATGTTGTTTGCGCCGAAAAAAAAAAATGTGTCACAGGCCTTGAGCCTAGGAATCGTTCTATACGGAATTTATTGCACAACTCTTGTTTTTTGGCTTTGGGCCTAGGAATTGGTATAGACAGAATTTATTGCACAGCTTTTGTTGTAGGTCTTGGACCAAGGATTTATTCCATACCTATTTGTTTGCACGGAAAGGCCTTTGGCCTATGATTCATTCTATTTGTTTGCACCGAAAAGAAATACAGTCATGTGTTACAGACCTTAGACATAGAACATATCATCTCTAAACCTGGCATTGCAAGTATACCAGACGAATTTGGATTTTATCGAATTAACGGTAAGTAAAAACAAATTTCGTGTCTTTTTACATCAACAATAGTAAGGCTGCAATACCGATTTGAGATCAAAGGCCTAGTAAATATTTTTTTTAACATCTACAGATATCCTAGCCAATGGTCGGCCATATTTCGGTACACATAAATTAGATTGATAATTTTTTTCAGTATTATTATTTCATGGAACAATATACATTAACTCTGCTTTGGAATAAACGTAACCTTTAATAACTTTCGTTACCACTACCGACAATAAGCTCAGCCAAATTTTATTAACTATGTTTCTACATCAACAATAGTAGGGTTTGCAATACCGAATAAAAAACAATATAGGCCTAGTAAATATTCTTTAAACATCGACAGATATCCTAGCCCATGGTCGACCATATTTAATTACACATAAATTATAATAATGTTTTTTTTTTATTATTTATTAGTCTATGGAAATATATACAATGACTCTGCTTTGGAATAAACGTAATGCTTAATATTTTTCGTTAAGACCGCCAACAGTAAGGTCAGCCACCTTTAATTAAAAACATATTGCATTAGTTTTAACTTGTTTGATATCAAAAAAGGTTATTTTATTTATTTATATTTTGTATTAGTATCTTTTTTTTTTTTAGATTCAACG